TCAGGGAGAGCATGATAGTCACATTATGTGCAAAAGTTGAAAGAGTAGAGGAGCTATGAGTCGATTTACTTATTAAAGAATGGGCGTGCGATAGACTTACCTCCACGTGGTGCACCCTGGGCAACGTATACTCATACGGCAAAAAAGTCTATTAACCGGCAGTTGACTTCTGACTTCTAACTACCATGACCCCACTGTATGTCTCATTCGACTACTTCAACCGTACTCACCTCACCTTTTTCCAACTTTGTGTCTGTCTCTTTTACATCTTTGAAACACTCTTCTGTCCCCTCCCCCCCCCCATCTCGACCTTTTCACTTTGATGTCCCTTCCCATCTGTGAAACCTGAAGTCAACTAAAGGGCTAATGATAACTATCAAAACGCCTGCCATTTGATATAAATAAACTTTTTAAAGGAAAAGAATAACTACTGGTATATCTCCTCATATAATAAATTAAATTTTAGCGTGCTCGATAGGAAATAAAAGACTAATTTGACTAGGGAGAAGTGACCTTGATGACCAAAATACGGCTGCAATTTGCTCATCCCTATTTCCTTTCAACAAGAAAGAAATTTCCCCTTTTTTCGGTAATAAGATTGCGAAATGAATAACTCGTAGGTTAGAGAGCAATAAATGCTTCTGAAGAATATCCACAACTAATTCTACGCTTTCACTAGTTCGGTGGAATAGTTAAGATTTACTGAATAGAATATATTCGTACGATCGAGCTGTACTCATAAGCAACACCTTTAATGGACTGAATTATCGTTTATTGAAATGTTACGCTTGTAATTGAACAGGCAAGACCACCACCGAAGCAATTATTGATTCATAGGGCAGTTAATTATTTGTTATATAATTATATTGAATCTATTTTTTCATTAATAAAAATGTAATTTGAGATGGTAACCTTCTCCCTCCTTACTAAGACCTGAAAATAATTGGCTTTGTAGAACTCAACAAGGGTCATGATCCGATTGCATACGTTAACATAACTTGATCCTACGAATAAGAATGGTAAGTTAGCTCAGCATGAGGGCTTGATTCCACGCGTGATTCACGAGGTCAACGTATGCCTCATGATGAGCGTCGACAGGCGGAGGGGTCGGAACTGATTAATTACTCCTGTCACTGGGGTGGTCGAATAAGTTGTATTTAGTAGTAAATGCTAAAACGGCTTTAACATGGCCAATTTACTAACTCTGGAAGTCGTATTTGCTAAGAAAAATAATTAACTTGCCGAAGTGTTGAAATTTAGGAATTATACGTTAGAATGGACTTGTGGAATATGCAATTAAGATACATCAAGTAAATTCAGACCTTACTACGATAAATGACGATGATATTCAAGCACATATTTGACATGAGCTATGGTTGATTACTTGTATCCATGTAGATGAAAATGACCAAATTAAACATATGGTATGCTTATTCACAAAGTAAAACCAAAATAAAATTGACGAACACATATTCACGATACCCTTTAACTCATTCAGCTTATTCCTCTAAAGAATAGTGTGCAGGCGTTTATAAAAAAATTGGAAAGTAACCTATGTACCCTATGTACTCTCAACACGACTGGATGAGGGAAGATGTAGAAAAAAAAAAGAAATAAAGGCAAATAAACCTTGGCTAAGTTAATCTTTGGTCGTAGGCCCTCGAGAAGTTGCATGCATTGTGTTTTCCCATACTTAATCAGATGCATTCTTTGGACTAAAAAATAAGGAAAAAGGCAATATAAGATTCAGTAAGTAAAAAAATGTACTAGTAATTAGACGACATTCTAACATAAGCTTAGAAACATCAGGCATCCTCAAGGTCATCGAAGGTACCAGATATACATGTACCAAACAAAAGTTTTAAGATTCTGAATATCCGATGGAGAGGACGAAAGTGGGGGGAGGGTTACTATTTATACTTCTCATTTAAGCAATTGAAGTTGTCAAACAATCTGTGTACTAATAATATTTGTGTATTGAGGCTGAGAGACCGCAAACAGTAAAGCGGTAAATGCCACTGCGATATCCAAAAACCTAGCGTTACACCTTATGAATTTTTCGAAAGAATTGACAGGCTTAATTTATTATTTACCCGCAGTATGTAAGTAGGCCAATCTGCGTTGACTAACAGTTTTATTCAAACCAAAGATCTGGGGATGAATGCCAAAAGGGAAAGTTCGGAAAGCTGCTCCCATGATTGCTGCAGCGGTCGATTTAACCCGAAAAGAAGACTTTTTAGTTGTGGATCTTCGACTGGAAGCTAGAGGCAGATGTCGTGCTACTCCTTCACCACCACAGGCGGGTTGCCATGACGAGGCAGAACACTCAGCAGCGACTCCAATAGACGATGGGCACTCAATCACAGTTTTTCCAGGATGAGAAACAAGACTACGATGCGGCAAATTCGCTTCTCCACCGCTACCGCAACCACTTTGACAGGAGCATGAGAGATCCTTATGCCGGACTACCTGATTTCTCCGACGGAATGGACCTTCTGCCAAAGTTGGAATATTACGTGAGAAAAATGCGTTTGAATAAGTGGATTCGACATCAGAATGACCATAAAGATTCATCCAAGAGGGCTTCTCAGATAATAAATCAACACCAGCGACGTTTCCAGAGAATGGGCTATGCTGTTCACTGCAAAGGCTGCTTTGTGTTCGTGATCGCAGATTAGCTGTTATATTCCATCCTACTTAAATAATACAAGTAGAAATAATTTTACCATGAGTTGAAGATACGCTGTCATAGCTTCCAATCTCAGAGGCACTAATAGCTCCTTCCATTGGTCTTTCAACCATAACCACGGAGCTTTGAATGAGCAAGCCGTCATTAAAAGATAGGGTACGTTGGCGTGAACTTTCAATCTGATCTGGTAAAATCACTGAAGTAATAGTCTGCCTTCGTAGGCGATGATACAATGGGAGATGTGGTTCATTACGGCCTACTATTTGATCTTCATCCGTTTTCACTGAATGTCTAAAGGCAAATAATAAGGTAATGAAAACAGCAAGCCTACTGAGGACTGGCAATTCTCATGGCCTTCACATTGATCCTAGTTACGGTTTCCGTGTGATTTAAGGCATAAATTTCACGAGAGGAACGGAAGTATGAGTGATTCAACCAATGCGGTACAATACACACCTCCGGACTTTCAGGATTTTCAAAATCTCTACACTACACAATTGTGACAAATGAAAGCAAGTTACAAAAAGAACATACAATAAAGAGGGGAACAGCATGTAGAGGCTGATGACCCAAGCAGACCAAATCAACGGTGACACCGAGATCTAAAGTCCTTTGTTTGGTAAAAGAAACCATATCGCGGCTGGCATCAAATACTCCACAACCCGAGGAGATCATAATGCAGGCTTTTCCTGTCTGATCAAATTTTCGGTCCACGTTATAGCATTCATAGTCTAGATGAAAAATCAATGAGATAAAGCGATATTCGACTAACCAGAGAGAACCAAGTTCAGGCTTTCTAGAAGATTTGTTTCTCTTGAAGATGACAAACGAATAGAGACATGTGAGGGATCTATTACTCCGGGAAGATATTTTAGTAAAAAGTCTCTTATATCACTTTGATAGCGCTTAAAAGCCAACATAAGTTGAGAAAAACTCCTTTTCCATTCCTCATGAGAGTACCTCTCCGTTTGCAAAATAACCCTAAAAATATAAATAAAAGGAAAACAAAACTTGCTTATAGAAATCCGCATAAATTTGACCATCTGAATTTCTCGAAAAGATACTTTTTGCTGGAATTTCAATGGCCGGAGCACTAATGAAAGCCCGTGTGGCAAGGACCAAGGTGACATCATGAGTGCAAAAAGAATTCTAGTAAGAAAACCATTATTTGCATGAAAGTTATTCACCATCCATGATTTCAATACTAATTCACGAAGAAACTTAATGCTCTTTTCGAATAGTAAGTCACCAAATTCGTCAAAGTTCCACATCTCTTTGCTCATTTGGATAAATATATGGTATGTGGCTGAAGAAGAGCGGAAAATTATTTTCGTTCGATCAGAGATATATCCACAGGACAGTAATTCCCCGTTGCGCCACAATTCACCAACATAACCCCTCATAACACCAAACTCTACCATCGTATTGCGCTGAACAATTGTATTTTTCTAAATTTAGAACATGTAAATACAAATATTGTTTACAATTATGTCAGAGAGTTCCATTAAATCACGACGTCCAAAATACTGGTCACGAAAATTAACTTCAACAAGGTCCAAGATAACATCCTAAATTGGTTATTTATAACTATAAATACCTCCTTAAAGACTACACGCACGGAAACTGTTTTGTAGGGTTGCAATTTTAGCGATTGAGCAAGTGATTGTTCAATACTGATAGCATCTAAACTATGTTAGTATATAAAATTTTAAAACCTCTGTGTTGAAAATCTTCACGCAATGATTTTACAAGGAAAAGCGTAGGCTGAGGAACATCTGGGTGCTTTAATTCAATTACATTACCAGGTAAAATTCCGTGATTGTCGCAAGGGTGCAAAAGTACATCATCTTAACAGTAATTCGGTAAATATAAATTACCGGATACACGAGATTTTGTGTCAACTCTTGGATGACACAATAGTTTTAGCTTTAACTCAGGCACTGCCATCAGGCACAGTAAAGAATGAGGCCAAAGACACTAGGCTTCAAGTACAATAATGTTGAGTTAAGGACAATAAATTCAAGGTTATTCGTGGCCAATATTTATAAATGATGTTTGTATAATCAGGCATTTTTTATTTTAATGCATGCTTGTTATTTTAATATTTTTTATTTTTATCATTTCTGCATATTTTATTTCAATATTTCTCTTGTATATTAATGCAAAGTTGTTTTAATTTTGTAATTTTATATTTCTTATTTACTAGCATTTCACTTCAAATTTTTTATTTATAATGAATAATACATGTAACTAAGCGAGATTGGATGAATTGGTTTAATATGCTATTTGAAATGCTCTTCTAAGTTCTTATTATAAAACAAATAAACTTATATGCAAGTAAACTGACAAATAAATAAAGTTAAATACATAAGCATATAATATTTTCTTTCCTTCTATCCTTCATGCTAAATATTACAATTTCAGTGAAATCACGTTTGCTTAAGTATGACTTATCTTTGTTCATTATTGATTTCTCAGACTCTTTTGTGTACAAATTCTACATAATCATTTTTCATTAGCACACCATATATATTAGCCGTAGTTATTTTGTCAATCTTGTAATGTTCTATGGGGAACGGTTTGGTGTGCTGATCTAATATTACATCATTATTGATCTTATGAAGGCTAACGAGGTCATAATAATTGACATTCCGATGACGTTAACAAAAGTTTATTAATTCACAAGGATTTGATGCTTTGCCGGACTCCTGCCATGCCTGCCTGCCTACTCCACAAAGTTAACTATGACATAGAGTTGCACCAATCAGTCAGATATACTATATGGGTAACAAATTGCAAACACTATTCGGAATATTTGGTTCATGTAGCCGTTATGGCTCGATTTGCTACTTAGTCTACCGTTCGCGAAGCTTGAGTCACCAGATGGATTGCAAGGAGTCTGCCTCACATTTCATCCTTTACACCTTCTGCTATGATTGAGTCCCAAAGAATTCCTGGTCAGCGTTACCATGCTCGAGATAAGCTCAAACTTCTTCTTAAGTATTTGGGTAGTAACTGAACATAATGATCAGATTATGTTCTTGGTATATTGATATATCAATTATTAAGCCTTCCATGAGGACACTTTAAAAGCTGATCATGAATAATTATAAGACTATTGTGAAGTATATTGCCGTTTACTTAAAATGAAATCAGTTTTATTTTGATGAATTTGGTATTTGACGAATATCAGTAAAATATGTTGCTTTAATATTCATTGACTCTTCTCCTCCATCCACTTAATTTTGGTAAGTAAAGTGAGAAACTAGACGAATGAGTCGTGGTTGATAAAGCACAAATACACATAAAATGCCGAAGATAAGATTTTATTCATTTTTTATTCATATTAAATGAACCACAACTCTAGATTATGAAAAATAATCATAATAACGAAAATAACACATTCTAATATATTATGTAGCCTTAGAATGGAGTTCAGAACGCCTTCTATTCCTCGGTTATAGTTTGCAACTTCATGTCTACTTATTCATTTCTTAGGATTTCCCATGGTTCAACTGATGACCGTGACGTCCTGGTAGTATTTACCATTTATTTAATTTGGTTGGTTGGTCAACCATTTCAGATCTCTGTTTTCCAACAATTGCTAAAAAATTTAATAAATTTAATCTTGAAATATCCAACAGTTACTTATATTTTATAGATTTTCGCAAGCTAGGTATATCTTTTCAAGTAAAAGATAAGATTTGAAACTCTTTTGAGCCAAAACACAATTATTAGGCATTGCGCACCTAGATCAATAATAAGTCAAAATTGCGATATATACATATCTACACACTTATATCCTTAAATCAGGTTTAGACAATCTACATGCTTTCTTGATATTCGTCATATATTTTATTTTAGTAGCATATTACTTTCGAAAATTCAACTCTTGGGAACTTTAACAGTGCCATTACACTGGCCACAGACTTTTCTCCATGAATCTACCTGCAAAAGTGGGTCATTTTACTGGATTTGTTATTAATTTTATTTATTAATTTATTTACATTCCAAATGGAAGGACTGATATCTTCATTTACATTCCTATCTGGATACCCAACGGCAATTACTCCAAATATACGATGATGTATTAAAGCAAATAGTCAACTTAATTGGTAGACAAAAATAGTTGAGTAAGTGTTCTACTTTAGAAGATAATTGGTTAAAAGTCACAAAGACAAAATTAGTCTATTAATGGCAGACTTAATACTTGCAAATAGCATTTTAATGTCTTTGGGTTAAAAGTTTGAGTTAATTTCGTGAATCGAAGTCTTTTGAGTGCGATATATGCACAAAATAATTGCTATCAAAAGAGATATTTCTAAATCTACGTAATGGTCTTCCATGAACGTAGGTACTTCTCATTTATTTCGTACCTCATATTCTCGCCTAATCATACACATATGGACAGGACTAAGAGACTTACTCACTTCGAAGCTTAAGTTTGTAGCGGATTGCTGCGCTAGTAAAGCCTGACTGACTCAGAAATCTCTGTGGCAGATTCCCTAAGTAAAGCCTGACTGACTTAGAAATCTCTATGGCAGATTCTCCGTTGGGCGGTTGTCTGCACAGAGACTTGTACGGTCGCACCTCCCGATCCTGGCGTGCATGCATGCGATGACGTGTCTCACAATGCTCCCCGCCCCTCCAGAGCGTTTGTAGTTAGCTGAAAATAAAGGTTATTGTACAATATCAACCAGTTGAGAGGGGAAAATAGACCTTCGGCCTTAGTGTAACAGAGTTTTGGGTAGAGGTGGGACAGGTATTGGAACTGCTGAGACGGGATTGTCGGAGTTGGAGAGTGGACTTCGTCATGTTCGCCGGACAATAGGCGTGAACGAATTCGAACCTCAAGAAAGTGGAAGGGGGAGCATAGAATGTAGAAGTACTTCAATCTCCTGGAAGAACTACGCATTCGCAATGTAAGAACCCTTGACGAGGTTTCTCATAAATTCAATGCTTACGAAACCACCTTCATGAATTCATCAATCGGTGTTCAATGGGGTGAGGTTGCTAGGGAGCAGATACGGCCA